AATATATGACTGGTATACTTAAAAGACAAGGAGAGGTGATACCAAGCTGGTGACACAAAAGAAGCAGATGGACATGTTAAGGAGAAGGCACAGAATTAAGTGATGTATCTACTAGTTAAGAAAGACCAAAGGTTGACAGCAAAAACTCAAAGCCAGAAAATGCAAAAAGGTTTCTTCCCCTAGAGATTTCAAAAGAAACATGGCCCTTGGTGGTACCTTGGTTTTGGACATCTAAGCAACAGAATTGTGAAAGAATAGATTTTTGTTGTTTTGAGCTAAAATAAAGAAAAAAAAACTATATGCCAAAAAGTTAGATAACTTTAATCAAACAAAAAATTTAGAAAACATGCCAACAAGTTGGATAACTTTAATCAAACAAAAATTATAGAAAATAAATGGTTACCAAAACAATACAAGAAGAAATATAAAATATGAATAGAGCTATAGTAAATTACATTTGTAATTTTAAAACTAACATATTAAGCTCAAGCCCTGGGAATATCACTGGATAATTTTATCAAAAACTTAAAGAAAAACACTAATTCTTCATATAATCTTCTAGAAAATAAAAAAGTAGAAAAATTAAGAGAAAATAAAGTGCCTATAAAAATATGGGATTATGTAAAATGGCCAAATGTAAGAGTCATGGGAATTCTTGATGATGAAGAAGAAAAAATGCAAGGGCTGGAAAACCTGTCTGAGGAAAGATTGAAGGAAATGCCCCTGCTCTTCCCAGAGGTTTAGATATCCACGTACAACAAGCCCAACACACACGTGGGAGAGTCATGGTGAAGAAGCAATCACCAAAACACATAATCATTAGACAGGCCAAAGTCGGTATGAAGAAGGAACTCCTGCCAGCTGTAAGATGAAAACATCAAGTCAGTTACAAAGAAAAGGCCACCAGGCTAACTGCAAAATTCTCAACTGAGACCTTACAAACCAGAAGGGATTAAGGCCTCATCTTCTGTCTTCTTAAAATGGAACAACTGCCAACCTAGAATTTTGTAGCATGTAAAACTACATTTCATATATGAAAGAGAAATAAACACTTTTCCAGACAAGCAAACACTAAGGGAATTTTTTCAAGACCAGGACTGCTCTGCAAGAAATACTCAGAATTACACTATACACAGATCAGCACTATTGACACCCACCAGTGTAAAACTGCCCCAAAGCTCAACATCAGAGCTTCACTTCCTAAGTGAAAACATATCTTATTGACTAAGACTCCTTCCTTTCTTTCTTTCT